GGGAGGAGGAGGGGGGAGGAGGGGAGGAGGAGGAGGAAGAGGGGGAGGAGGGGGAGGGTCTGTTCAGGGAGGGCAACTGCGGGGGTCAAGGAGATCCTGAGGGTGGCCAGGATCAGGCAGTCGGATCCCTGCTCTGTTCTCAGAGGCAGGAACACACACACACAAAACCATCTGCTTCTCAGCTGACAAGTCTCTCTCTCTCTCTTGTTGTTCTCTTACAGAAATTCTGCACACAACAGCACACAGGCAGCCATCTGGTCTCCTATGAGAGCAGTGAAGAAGTAGATTTTGTGGTCTCGAAGACCTTACCAATTTTGAAAGCCAGTTTTGTCTGGATCGGACTGAGCAATGTCTGGAATGTAGGTCCTCTAATGCTAATCTTCCTCGATTCAACTTTACACTTTCTGAGGAGGTTTTCATTTGTTTGTTTGTTTGTTTGTTTAGAGGGATCCTCTGGTGGGAGGCAGAGGTCTCCCTATTCAATGTTCCTGCCTTGGAGAACGGCAGGGAAAACCAAAGTAGAAAACCTTTAACTGCCATCCTCTCTCTCTCTCTCTCTTTCTCTCTCTCTCAATCTCTCCCCCACTGCTGCGGTCTTGAAGGGCCGGATCCTGCCCTGGCCCCCATCTCGGCCCCCAGGCCTTCCTCCCTCTGGAGGGCCCCGTGGATGGGCTCCACACCTGGGGGAGACTCTGCTGGGCCTTCAGCTCAGGGGCTTTAGAGGCCTGGCCTGGGGGGGGCTGTTCTTTCCTCCCCCCCCCTTATTTTAATTTAAGGCAGAAATTCCTCCATCAGGATTTTGTCTCCTGCTCTGCTGGGTTTTCAGCTCTTGGAAGAAGCTCCGTCGTGTACAAAGGAGGGGGGGAGATTCCCTGGAGTTGGAATCAGCTCCTGGGGACTTTGTGACTAGAAAAGTGAATTTCTGGGGACAAGAGTGAAGGAGGTCCTCAAAAGAAATAACCACAGATACCCAGGAGGCTTTTCTCTTCCCAAGTGTCCCCTGAAGCCCTGGGTTCTGCCTCTGCTCCCCCATCCAGGGAGTGATGGGCTTTGGCGCTCTTTCCCTTCCGGAGACCAAGGAGGGTCGTTCGGAGCGGTCACCACGTGGGGCATGGGGCAAAGTGGCCCCCAAGCTGAGGTAGTGACTCCTGGGACCCCTCCAGGCCGTTTTCTCCTCTTTTCCCTCTGGATCTCCTGACTGTCTCCTCTCCAGGCAGTCCCCAAGCGGAACCCTGCTTAGCTGCTCCGGGTCAGCTGGGGTGGATGGAGAGAGAAGGAAAGAGAGAGAAGGAAAGAGAGAGAGAGAGAGAGAAGGAAAGAGAGAGAACGAAAGAGAAAGAGAGAAGGAGGGAGGATACATTTGCTCTGCCCCTTGAAGCTCTGCCAACTTTTCTCCCAGAGCCCCCTCCTCAATCGGCTCTTCCTTGTCTTTCCAGGCATGCAGGTTGCAGTGGAGCGATGGCACCGAGCTTATGTACAATGCCTGGACTGCAGAATCTGAGTGTATCGCATCCAAGACAAGTAAGTCCATGCGGTGTGGTGCACATGGTGTTAGGTCAAGGAGGGTGCCCTTCCCTCCATGAGGACCCAGGGGATCCTTCTTGCAACCCCCCCTCCTTGGCCACTGGGGACCTTTCTTGACCTCCTGGATCTCTGAGCTGCCTCAGTCCTTCACTCTGCACAGACAAGGGAACACGAGACAACCATGGTAGAAACCGTTAAAAGCGGGACTGGAGCTCTAAATGAAAATTATTACGGGGCCATCAGCTCATAATGCAACTAACAAGCTCCATTTTAACCTTGTTCCGAAAGGCCATCATTGTCTCAGGGCATCTGGCTTTTCCCCCCTGGTTTGCTTGCTCAGATGTAGATCAATTTCCAACACCCCATTGTGGTGAGAAGAACCTCGGACACATTTTGTGTATGTGTCTCTGTGTGTTGCAGAGAAATATTAACACATAAACCAATCAAAAGAGCAATTCGGTCTCTGGTGGAGGCACCAGGCTAGAAACAGGAGACGGGGAGTTCTAGTCCCACCATAGGCGCTAAAACCGACTGGCTGACTTTGGACCAGCCCCTCCCTCTCTGCCCAACCCACCTCACAGGGTTGTTGTGGGGAAAAGAGGAGGGGGAAGGTGTGTTGGATATGTTTGCTGCCTTGGGTGAGTTGTAAAGTAAAGAGGTGGGATAAATATAAATAAATCAAAATTAAATTAAAAGAGACAAAAGAAATGAAAGAAACTTGAGGGCCAGGTAAGTTATCTGGGTTAGAAGAACCTGTTGAACCCCCAGCCTGTTTTAGGGGATGAGAGTCTCCACCTGTGGTATCTTCATGTCCTCCTGCAAATGAGCCAGGAGCCTCTGAAAAGATCTTCTGGGACTCTCAGGGAATCTCTACAGAAAGTGATCAAAATTTCTCTTTTGCTACCCAGCTGATAACCAATGGTGGAGTATGGACTGCAGCAGTAAACGCTATGTCGTCTGCAAGTTCTAGGCATAGTCTGAAGATGCAGCTGTCTGAAGTCTGGAGAAGCAAGGAAGCCCCCCCCC